AATGTATAATGAATAAAATTATGTATGTCACAAGAGGTGCTCTGTTGGTGGTATTGGGTGTATAAGGGCCACTGAGAGCATAAGCCATCCATAATGGTGGTGAAGCAGCAGCTGAGGCGCACCGGTGTTTTCTGTAGCCCTATATAACTCCAACATTGGAGGAGTTAGTAGAATTGCTGAATCACTGAAGAAGGCACCCTCTACCACCATCACAACCACTACCACCATCACTACCACCCTCTACCACTGTCACAACTGCTACCATCACAACCACCTTCTACCACCATCACTACCACCCTCTACCACTATCACAACTGCTACCACCCTCTACCACCATCACTACCACCCTCTACCACTATCACAACTGCTACCACTCTACCACCACCACTTTCATATTTTTCTACAAACTTTTTCTTAAATTATATGTTTCTCACGTTCTTTACCAACGACTATTTGTGAGTCAAACGACGATTTGTGAGTCAATGTTTAGATGAAAAAGAGTTACAATTTCTGAAAATTACGACTTTCAAGCCTTACGAAAAATGAGGGTCCGCTGTAGTATGGTTTTAACTTACCGACAAATTTGTTTACCTACAAGGTCTTAGGAATGGAACTCCATTGTTAAGTGAGGAGAGGCTGTAATAATTTGTAATACAGTGGACCCCCGGATTATGTAATTAATCCATTCCAGAGAGAGTGACTTATCCTGAATCTGACTTATTCTGAAATAATTTTCCCCATAAGAAATTTGGAAATCCAATTAATCCATTTCAGACACCCAAAAATATTAAAAAATATGTTTTCTACACGAAATATACATTTACCTACACAGAAAACAATGATATATGAAGAGTAAAACAGTAACATCACACTTACCTTCATTGAAGACATGGTGATGTATGAAAGATGGGAGGAGGGGAGAGGATGGAGAAGTATACAATTGTTTGGAAGGGGAATCCCCTTCCATAAGGACTTCAGGTACCAAGTCCTTATCCTGGGTTACTTCCCTTTTTTGTTTTTTAATGCCACTAGGACCAGCTTGAGTGTCACTGGACCACTGTCGCTCAAAAAAGTGTTCCAGAGAGGTCTGTTTCTGGTGTATGTTAGGAATTGTTGGGAGACGGGACAAGATAGTCCTTCAATATGACACTAATATCAGCTCTACGGCTTATTTATCTAGCAAAGTTCATCTAATATGACATAGTAAACAATATTAATAACATAGAAACATGATATATACTCTAGGTTGAATAAAATATGGCATTAAGAATGTCAGGAGTGGTGGTGTGTTGTTTGTTTTTGGGTGTATAAGGGCCACTGAAGGATAAGCCTTACATGGTGGTGAAGGCAGCAGCAGAGGTGGTGGTGTTAGTCAGTAGCCCTATATACCTCCAACAATGGAGGAGTCAGTTTTGTGCTGTCCTTTTTCTATCGATTAATTGCTTAACTTACTTGCTACACTGTTAATGGTACACTTTATCGCTGGCTGGCACTATAGCCTTTATTGACACTTGCTGCTTTAGTATCGTACATATTGCAGAATCACTAAAAAAGGCACATTCTCCCCTCTTTCTCAGTCCTTTACGAAAGGGCTGGCTGGCACTAGAAGCTTTCTTTGGGCCCATGGTGGCTTATTTAGCAGTTACAAGCACTAAAAAGAATGGAATAATACAAAATGGATCGTATGAACGCGTGGGATCGTCCTCACTGGCTAGTAAACAGTGGCACACTGGCTGTGCATGGAGTGTAGGGGCTGCTCAGGCTGCGCAGACACCTTCCAGACAAATGACTTATACTGAGTTCAGTGACGTTCACCAAGCCAATATTTTGACGAAATAAATGTTACTTATTCTGAATATGTATTACTTATTCCAATGACGACTTAATCCGGGGGTCCACTGTAATAATAATTTGTCAGAGCATCATTCCTTCTAAAAATTACATGAGAATGGAAGTGTTGATCTTTATTTATTCTACTGTACCACTGTGGAGACAACTTGTACACAATGTAAGGTGTTTGTTTGAATGTGTATGAACCATAACTAGACGCTTTGTCCGTTTGTTTACATAGTGGGTGGGGTGGCCCGGCAAACTACCCTACCCTACCTCCCACACGACTTTCTACAAATAAATACTTTTCTCCTCTCACCCTACAATAACATAACAATAACATTTATAACATTAAGACTACAAATATTTTAAGATAAGTAATGAGTGTAATGTTCAGTGAACCCCTGCCTTTCGGCGGCAGTGACTTTAGTGAAATCTGACTTTCGGCAACTTTTTTCAACAAAATATAGCCTCATGGTCCATGATTGGCCTCGTCATTTGGCGACCATCTGGTACGCATCCGACCAGCATCCCACCATCAGCGTGCACACAAAGCCAGTCTCCCACACCATTCACACTTAGTGTGCCATTGTTTATCAGTGAGTGACCATCATTCCATGGATTCATACAGTACATTTCATAATAATCCATTGTTTTTTGTGCTTGCAACTGCTAAATAAGTCACCATGGGCCCAAAGAAAGCTAGTGCCAGCCCTTTGGTAAAGAAAGTGAGGAACACAATCAAATTCAAGAAAGAAATCATTGAAAAATGTGAAAGTGGAGTGTGTGTTTCAGAGCTTGGTGAGATATATGGCAAGCACCAATCAACCATTACTTTGATTGTGGAGAAGGGAGAGGAAATCAAGGAAGCTGTTGTTGCAAAAAGGGTAGATATGCTGACAAAAAGGAGATCGCAAATCCTCGAAGAAGTGGAGAAATTATTGTTGGTGTGGATTACCCAAAAACAGTTAGCAGGAGATAGTGTTATGCAGTTGATAATTTGTGAAAAGGCAAGGCAGTTGCACGACGATCTCATAAAGAAAATTCCTGCAACAAGTGCTGATGTTTGTGATTTTAAGGCCAGCAAAGGCTGGTTTGAGAGATTTAAGCATAGTGGCATACATAGTGTGGTAAGGCATGGCGAGGCTGCCAGTTTTGACAAAAAGCGGCTGAAAAATATGTTGAGGAATTCAAGGGATACATAGAGACTGAACAATACAAACCCAACAAGTGTTCAATTGTGACGAAACAGGCCTGTTTTGGAAGAAAATGCCAAAGAGGACCTACATCGTGAAGGAGGAAAAGGCACTCCCGGGACACAAGTCTATGAAAGACAGGCTAACTCTCTTGTGTGGTAATGCTAGTGCGGATTTCAAAGTGAAACCTTTACTGGTGTATCACTCTGTTCAAGAAAAACAGTGTTGTCAAGAGTACACTGTGTGTGATGTGGAAGGCAAACAGTAAGGCATGGGTCATGAGAGACATTTTCCTTGATTGGTTTAGTGAAGTGTTTGGCTCCAGTGTGAAGAAATACCTCCTGGAAAATAAATTGGAACCCAAGTGCCTCCTGGTAGTGGACAGTGCTCCTGCTCATCCTCAAGATTTGGAAGAGCAAATGGTGCAGGAGTTTCGTTTCATCAAAGTGAAGTTCTTGCCCTCTAGTACCACTCCTCTCCTCCAGCCCATGGACCAGCAGGTCATTTCATCTTCAAAAAACTGTACACCAAAGCCGTGTTTCAAAAGTGTTTGGAAGTGACCCAAGACACTCAGTTGACCCTAAGAAAGTTCTGGAAAGATCACTTCAATATCCTCCACTGCATAAACCTTATAGGTAAGGCTTGGGGGGGAGTGATTTGCAGGACTTTGAAGTCTGCTTGGAGAAAATTGTGGCCACAGTGTGTACAAGAGAGGGATTTTGAAGGGTTTGGGGCTGACCCTGAGGAGCTTATGCCAGTTGTGGAAAGTATTGTGGCATTGGGGAATTCCATGGGGCTGGATGTGACTTTCGAGGGTGTGGAAGAGTTGGCGGAGGACCACGATGAAGAGCTAACTACTACAGAGCTGCAAGAGCTTCATCTGCAACAGCAGCAGACCACAGCTCAGGAAATTGCTGCAGAGGAGGAGGAAGATGGAGGAAGGTGCCTTCTTCAAAGATTAAGAGCATTTGTGCAAAGTGGACTGAAGTGCAAACATTTATGGTGAACTTCACCATGTTGGCAACATGTACAGTGACAGTGTTGTGTCCCATTTTAGGGAAATCTTAGAGATGCCAGAAACAGAGCTCTCTTGACAGATATTTTGTGTGACAGGGGTCCAGTGACTCTCAAGCTGGTCCTAGTGCCATTAAAAAACAAAGGGAAGTAACTCCAGAAAAGGACTTGGTACCTAAAGTCTTTATGGAAGGGGATTCCCCTTCCAAACAATAGTGTACCTTCATCCTCTCCCCTCCTCCCACCTTCCATCCACCCAGAAGTCATCAATAAAAGTAAGTGTAATATTATTTTATATATGTATGTACTTGATTTCTCAGTTTTCTGTATGTAAATCTTTATTTAATTTGAAAAAAATATATATTTTTTAATATTTTTGGGTGTTTGGAATGGATTAATTGGATTTCCATTATTTCTTATGGGGAAAATGGTTTCGACATTCATGAATTTCGACTGTCAGCACAAACTCTGGAACGGATTAATCATGAAATTCGAGGGTCCACTGTATATGCATTTTATCACTCTAGAGCGCTTTAAGCATTGTAGTATATTATGTGTGGGTGAGGTGGCCTGGAGGGCTAGCACACCTGACTTCTTACAGTAAATACTACTCACCTTTTTGCCCTACATTAAGACTACAAATATTTTGAGGTAATGAGTGTACTGTGTGTGTATTTTACTTTTTATTGTTTTTAATGCCTAGTTATATTGCTAACTTAACACATATTAGTGTAAACTTGTTAACTGGCATTTATATGCATTTATAAGTGGAAAAAATGGTATTCTGCTTTCCAGCAGTAGCCTGGAACCTAACCTGCCATTTAAGTGAGGCCCTGCTGTACACAAAAAAAAAAATTGGTTTTGTGTATATGTATATGCACAACTTTTAAGTAGTGATATGAAATTTTGGTGTTCCGAAGAGGTAGTAATTGTTCCATTTGTATTTTTGTTGGGTGACAGATTTTACGAGGAAGGCGGCTGGGAGCTTGTTGGTGTGTGGCTGCAGGAGGCAGTGAATGCTAAAAATTGGCCGCTAGCCACTCAAGTGCTAAGCCTTCTGGAGTCATCACCCATGACAGTGGCCCGGCTCAAACGCAACACCACCCCTAAGCTCGTCAAGGAGCTCTCTAAGGATCCCAGCAGTCCAGGTAAGAATACACCTTTGTAAAATATGAATAGTAACAAGGCTGACATAAACTTTGAAAACCATAACTTAATTAAATCATGTGTTTTTGTGTTTGTGTTTTGAAGTTCTTTTGTAAACTCTTTTTGTGTCATAAATTATATTTTTTTGACATGTCAAATTAGTACTTAAAATTTTATTTATAAGCATAAAGCATTCTTGAATTATACATTGTACTCTTTTGATGGTTATGTTAATGATGTATTTTGTATATTATTATAGGTGTCCAGCTGGTGGCCAAGCATTTAGTATTAAAGTGGATGGAAGTAGTGCGTCAAGGTGATGGAGTAGCCACAGCTGCAGGAGTTGGTCTGGCCAACTCAATTGCTAACTCTACTGACGAAGATAGTACTGAAATTCCTTCACAAAAGGCAGAGGTACCAAAGGAAAAAACAAAAGTGGATGGTGAGGATGAGGTAGAGGATGGGACAAACACAGCAACAGCAGACTCCTCACAAGGAGAGGGTGGTGATGGTAGTTCCTCTTGTCAAGATGAATCTTCAAATACTTCCACAGAAAGTGACACCACACCTGCCCCCACCACACCCATTCGTATCACCATTCGCAGTGGATCACAGGTGCTGGCTAAAGTATCTTCACAGCGCCTCAGCCAGGACTCGACAGACAGTGATGACAACAAACCACTCAGTGTTATCAAACAGGAAGCAAAGAAGGCTCGCACATTTGTATCAGATGATGGCGATGCCAATGATAGTGAAAATTTGACCACTGCTTCAGCAGAATCAGTGGATACTGGTGATGAAACTTTAGCCAATGCTGCACCAAGTTCCTTGGAAACTGAAAGTGGTGCTTCAGAAAATATTAAAAGCCCATCAGGTATTAACATTAATCCTGTTAAGATAAATACAGCAACCATGGCCACCAGTACCACAGTATCATCAACAGAGTCAACCACCACCACAACTACAGCTTCAGCGATTCACACTATAGTAACATTCACCGGCAGCCTTACTGCCACTCCTACGCCTGTTCCTACCTCCTCACCTGTTGCCACACAGAGCAGTAACACATCTCCCCCACCAGATACCAAAACCCAGAGAACTCAAGAAAAGAAGATTGAAACTGTAAATGGTGTGAGTGTTGATAACAAATTGGAATCTGTGACAAGTATTAGTGTAGATAAAGTGGAAAAGGGTAACAAGTCAGAGGTGAAGAGTGAAGTGAAGAGCGAAGTAAAGAGCGAGAAAGTCAAGAAAAGTGATCACAGTAAAGATAAAGACAAAGAAAAGGACAGAGAGAAAGAAAAAAAATCGAAGGACTCTGAGAAAAAGAAAGATAGAGACAGAAGTAAAAGTTCCAAAGGTAGTAGTAATAGCAACAGTAGTAGCAGTAGCAAATCTGACAGAGACAGAGAAAAGAATTATAAAGACCATGAAAAATCTAAAAGTGATAAACATAGACATAGTGGCAGTAAAGACAAGGACAGGAGTGACAAAGATAGAAGTAAAAGTAAAGATAAAAAGAGTAGTAGAGAAAAGGAGAAACACAGAGATAAGGATAAAGATAAAGAGCGACGTGAGGACAAAAAGAAAAAAGAACAACAAGAAAATGAAGATAAAGCCACGTTAGAAAAAGTTAAGCCTCTGAGTGTAGATGGTTTAGCCAAGATCCCTAGGAAACAAGCACCAGCCAGTTTCCTTGATGCTTTGGGGTCTGCTGATGTTGATCTTCAGGAGGCCAAAAAGCCCACTGTTAAGACATACAAGTCTCGTGGGTTTCGCAATACAGGATTGTTGGACGAGCCCACCAAGCTGCCGGGAGTGGCAGGAAAGAAGGCAGCTGAGAAGAAGCCTTCAGCTGGTGGGGGAGGCATTTCTGCTGGGGCAAAGCGCCCATCGCCTCTTGATGACCTAAGTTCCACACCACCTGACAAACGCATCCGCTCTACATGGTCTTCGCTACCACTCAACACCGACAAGCCAGGAGGAGTCAAGCTAATATCGCCCAAACGACGTAAGTGGAAGATGCCCGCCACTACTCTCATACTCCTCCTTATTCTTTGTTTTATTACTTACTGCTTTTCTCTTATATATCTCATTTCCCGTTCTTTCCTGGGATTGATTTTTTTTTATTGTGACTACCAGAGGAAAAGTATCAGTGCAAATTTATGTTAATTTTTTCTCTGAATGTCGATGATGCGCATTTAATTTTGTTTCTGATATCTGGCTCTCTAGTTTTAGTCATGAGGCGAGGTAGTGGCGGGCCTCGTATTAACATTACAGTGGTAGCAAGGAGTAAGGCTGGTCCCTGGGGAGAGAGAAGTGTGGGGACACAGCATATATTCTTCAAGATACCCTGAGAGAAAATTTGATTTTATCTTAAATCTTCTCATATAATAGTAGTTACAGTATTTAGTCTACCTAGAAACTCAGTTGTTCATGTCCCAGAAGCTTCCTTCCTCTGCCTGTAGGCAACTTACTCCATTCTCCACTGTGAATTATTGTGGGATATGGCTAGGAATGAAAGGGAGCTCATTAGGTCCAGTTGCCTTTTTGTTAACATTTTTACATAATGCCTAGCCTGGGTGCAACTCGTTTCTTCCTCGCAGTGACACCTTTCAGACAAAATAATTAAACTAAATTATACTTGCAGTGTTTTGAAGCACACCTTATGTATTTTTGCCAGCCACACATTGTATTCTTAAAGGTTTAGAGGTTTATATACAATAAAGGTTTCTTAAATTAGGCAGCTTAATAGCATATACAGTGTGTTTGATTTATGATATGGTACTAAAGTAGAGGGGTGGTAAATTTAGAAAACTAAAAATTTTCAGCATTGGGATTTTATATGCTTTAACTAATATGGAAGTACCACTATATCCAAACAGTGGGTCATATAGAGATTAAGAGCCCAACAGGATTTATTCTAAACCTGAAAAGAAGTGGTAGCCAGGAGAGTTTGTTTTGTTAGTAGGAAGGCTTCAGGACTTATGAGCAAATCATGTACTGTATACCTGTTGGAATTTTTCTTCACATTTTGTGTAGGTGAGGATGGAAAAACTTGTATTACTGGTTATTCAGCAGTGTTCAGTATACTGTAATGCAACACTGACTCATAAAAAAGTTTCACAGGACTTGATATACAGTATATCCCAAGAATCTGTATACCAAAGCATTAGTGATTTCTGTTGAAATTAGCAAATTGTTCTGTGACCAAATTCTACAAAGTAAGGTGACCCACCAGAGTCGGGTTTCACCGATGGGTAAATTTTATAAACAGGTGGCAGACTTAAGTAAATTATTGTATGTGCACAACAATGCCATCAGTTCAGACACTCAGAAGAGAAGAAGTTTCCTCAATTTTTTTACCCTTGGGGTCGTTCTTTCTTTTAGGCATGTCTTTTGTGTGACATGATTAAAGAAATGTTAATCTTGTGGGGGTTGCTGTAAACTTAGCCATGCACAGAAAATGAGTACCATATACAGTGATGGGACAAGATGTCAAATACAATAGCTCTCCACGTTTTGTTTTGGTAAGTTATTTATGAAAGATTGGATATCAGATTGGAGAGAGAGAGCATGGAGGAGGTGAATGTATTCAGATACAGTGGACCCTCGGCTAACGATATTAATCTGTTTCTGAGAGCTCATCATTAGACGAAATTATCATTAGCTGAATTAATTTTTCCCATAAGAAATAATGGAAATCCAATTAATCCGTTCCAGACAGCCAAAAGTATTTAAAAAAATCATTTTTTTTTTTCATGAAATATACATTTTCCTACAAAGAAAACAATGAGACATGCACAATAACTACATGTATATAAATAAATGTTAAATAACACTTACCTTTATTGAAGAGTATTGATGAGTGATGAGACACTGTTTTTCTTGAACACACTGGGATTTTCAGAGTGATACATGAGTAAAGGCTTCACTTTGCAATCCCCACTAGCATTACAACAAAACAAGAAAGTTAGCCTGTCTTTCATTGGCTTGTGTCCTGGGAGTGCCTTTTCCTCCTGAGTAATGTAGGTCCTGTTTGGCATTTTCTTCCAGAACAGGCCTGTTTCGTCACAATTGAACACTTGTTGGGGTTGGAATTTTTCAGCTTCGCCATGCCTTATCACACTGTGTATGCCACTACGATTCTTAAATCTCTCAAACCAACCTTTGCTGGCCTTAAATTCACCAATATGAGCACTAGTTCCAGGTATTTTTTCCCTGTTCACCTGGGTGTTAGTTGACTGGTGTGGGTCGCATCCTAGGGGACAAGATTAAGGACCTCAATGGAAATAAGTTAGACAGTCCTTGATGACTCACTGACTTTCTTGTGTTATCCTGGGTGGCTAACCCTCTGGGGTTAATTGTTTCTCAGTAATTGTTTCTCGTTAAGCCACACCAACAACAGTCTCTCCACATCTTCGAGTAGTACAGCTGACCGTGGTACGATAGTATTTCTCACCCCTTTTTACCACAGGATTGGCACTAGAAGCTTTCTTTGGGCCCATGGTGGCTTATTTAGCAGTTACAAGCACTATAAACAATGGAATAATACAAAATGTATCGAATGTATGCATGAAACCGGCCACCCTGGTTTGTAAACAATGACGGCAGGGCAGCTGAGGCTCTCAGGCTGGACAGACAGGTTTGGGACGAATCACATTGGGCGAGTTTTTTATCATTAGCCAGGCCAAAAATTTTATGCTCAAACGCTTCATTGGGCAGATTTAACATATGCGATGCGTTCGTTAGCCGAGGGTCCACTGTATTTGGGAGTGAACGTGTCAGCAGATGGGTCTATGAAAGATGAGGTGAATCATGTAATTGATGAGGGGGGAAAAGGTGGGTGGTGCACTGAAGAGTCTGTGGAGACAAAGAACATTATCCATGAAAGCAAAGAGGGGCATGTATGAGAGTATAGTTATACCAACACTTTTATATGGGTGTGAAGCATGGGTGGTGAATGTAGCAACAAGGAGAAGACTGGAGGCAGTGGAGATGTGATGAATGGTTTTGAAAACCGACAAGTTGAAGAATTGAGACACTTATGCAACACATGGGAATCTTTATTGAAGAAACGTTTTGCCACACAGTGGCTTCATCAGTCCAGTACAAAGTAGAAATGGGTAAGGAGAGGAGAAGTTTGAGGTAAGTGTCTCAATTCTTCAGGCAGTGGAGATGTCATGTCTAAGGGCAATGTGTGGTGTGAATATAATGCAGAGAATCCATAGTTTGGAAATTAGGAGGAGGTGTGGGGTTACCAAAAGTATTATCCAGAAGGCTGAGGAAGGGTTGTTGAGGTGGTTCGGACATGTAGAGATGAAGGAACAAAATAGGATGACTTGTAAAGTGTATAAATCTGTAGTGGAGGGAAGGGGGGGTAGGGGTTGGCCTAGGAAATGTTGGAGGGAGGGGGTAAAGGAGGTTCTGTATGCGAGGGGCTTGGACTTCCAGCAAGCATGTGTGAATGTGTTAGCGAATGGAGACAAATGTTTTTTAGGACTTGATGTGCTGTTGGAGTGTGAGCAAGGTAACACTTATGAAAGGATTCAGGGAAACCAGCAGGCCGGACTTGAGTCCTGGAGATGGGAAGCACAGTGCTGGCACTCTGAAGGAGGGGTGTTAATGTTGCAGTTCTATAACTGTAGTGCAAGTGCACCTCTGACAAGACAGTGATGGAGTGAATGATGATAAAAGTTTTTCTTTTTCGGGCCACCCTGCATTGATAGGAAATGGCTGTTGTGTTAATTGCAATGCTCTTAAAACTGGAAGACAAGAAAAACACTCAGTGGATGAATTATCTGAGGGGGTCATGAGTAACTCCTGGGAGTAGGTGGGCTAGAGATGAGGGAGTAAAGGTAGTTCTAGTGCATACAGCAGGGGTTTATGATTGCTTGTATGAGGGAAGTGGAATGATTGATGGAATACTATCTAGAGTATGTTCAAAGGGTCAGTGCCTTTGTAGCTTGGTTCAAAACCAGGCTCCTGGTGGATGGCCTGGTCAGCCAGGGTGTCAGTGCTAGCACCACAGCCTGGCTGATCAGGCACTTGTCCAGTTCTCTCTTGAAGATGGCCAAGGGTCTGTTGGCAATTCTCCTTATGTATTGAAAATTCTTGGTCTTTTCACCTTATTGAGTCCCCCCCCCCCCCCCCTTCCTGTGTACTTATTGCCCTCCTGCTTTTCATTAAGGGTTTTTTGCACTGTCTGCCAAGCTTCTTGCTTTCATGGGGAATGATTTGTGTGAGCATATTTGAGACCAATCCTTCTAGAACTTTGCAGGTGTAGATTATAAGGTACCTCTTTCACCTACGTTCCAAGAACAGATCAAGGTACTCCAAATGCTCCCATTAATTTAGGTGTTTAACTGAATCTGTTAGCAGTGAAAGTTCTCTGCACATTCTCCAGGTCTGCAATTTTACATATCTTGAATGAAACTGTTTGAGTACAGCAGTACTCCAGCCTAGAGAGCTAACAAGTGACTTGTAGAGTATCATCATTGGCATGGCATCTCTTGGTTTGAAGGTTCTAGTTATTCAGACTATCATTTTCCTTGCATTTGTGATACTAACACTTGTGATCCTGGAAACTGAGATACTCTTGATTTAATCATTACCAGGTGTCTCATGTTATTCTTAAACTATTTAGTGATTCGAGTTTGTTTTATACTGCATTCCAGCCTTTATTTCCTCAATGTTTCCATAACAGAGTTACTGAAATTTGTCCTTATTGAACATTGCGTTGTCAGTGGCCCACTGGAAGACTGTTTATATCAGCTTGGAAGTTTGCTCTGTTCTCAGTAGATGTCACTCTCATACAGATTCTAGTATTGTCTGCAGAGTATGATTTGGTGCTATGATTTATTCCTATATGCTGGATGAGGTAAAAAAAAAAAAATAGTAAGGAGAAAATTAGTAAATGAAAGGCATACACAATGAAAATGATAGACAAAACATAGGGAGATAAAAGAGAGATCAGATGAGTGGTGCAAAAAAATAGGAAATGAGTGATTG